TCTGGAACAGGTACTACAGGATTTTGAACTGCTTTCATAAAACGTGCCAGGGGGACATTGCACTAAAAATGGTAACGATAAAATATTTAAAAATCATCAAGCAAGGGAAACAACTATTTCAAAATATCGATAGTTATCTAAGCTGATATCTATATAGAATTTATATTTGGAAGATAAAACAATAGGTCCAAATACATAGAGTATATTTGATAAAACTACATATAGAAAAAGACAGCATTCGTCATAATTTTCAATATTTACTTTCACGTGTATATAAAAAACACTGTATATATTTGGTGTGTCCGACACGCTTGATTTGGATACACCTTTACCAGAAATGCTCAAAACCAGAATTTGTAATGTCGAGGATATATATGTACATGTATATACTTGATGATGAGCATGAATTTCAAGGGCTGTCATTGGTCGCTTTGTATCATATTTGTTTATTGTTTTTGGTAAAAATTAGGCCGTTGGTTTTAATGTTTAACTTGTTTCACATTCGAGACTTTATTAAGCTGACTATACGCTATAAAACTCGAACCTTAGTTTCTTGATAATATCTCAATAAAAAAAAATTAAGAATGTAGGTTATAAATTATGGCTGTTGGGAAGCACTTACTACTAGGCTTATCATACCATTACGGACGAATTATTAACTTTGAGCATCACTAGTTTTTAAGTCCACTTACCACAGGCAACTACAGAACTGAATACAGGAACAGAATTATCAGGACAATCTAGTTCTAAGTCGTTTGATGTCATTTCAAGGAGGTGAGCATGCTGGTCATTTATGACGAGAGTAAAGTTGTCTGATTTTAGTTCTGATTTTATAGAATTCATAAACTCAGTATAAGTATACACCTCCGTTTCATATTGCTGTGATGATAGTGTACCATTTCCAGACTCGAAAGATATATCTGTATGTATTATCATGTTATCTGTTGATCTTTTCTTTGATGTTGTTGGACAAATAACCTGTATGCAAAACATCTCATCAATAATATGATATCTGAAGAGAGAGTTGTCTCAAGTATGCAAAAAATGAAAACAACACGTTATAAATTGCATGCGTCCGATGCGCTTTTTCTGGATTTATCATCATCAGGAACGCTCAAAGCCGAATATTTGAAAGGCAAGGATGTATAAGAACCGAAACAGTATGCAAAACAATACAATAACAACAAATATATGAAGCTGGAAATATATTCGATAGAACAAACGTGTATGATACTGGTATTTTCTCCAGTAAATCTAAAGTTTAGTTTTTCTTTGCAAATACCTGGAGCCTAGTCTGCAATTCAAAATACATAAACAAAGATTGCAATTACATGCCCCTGATTGTTCTTTACATATATTACAAAAGACATTTTGTTGCAAATGATACCATTTTGGCAAACTGTTTCCATCAACTCGCTTAGATACAAATGGAAAATAAAATACAAGAATATCTTGCTGTAAACTTTGGTCAGTATTAATTAAACGTGAATGTGTTTGTGTTATTTTTAAATGAAATACCTTCACGTTTCCGATGTTGCATTCAGGAGTCATGCACATTTTCTTGACTAGAAAGGAATTTGAATTTGTTATTGCAGTCATATATTTTTCCTTAATCTCAGCCTGAATTGCTGGATCGTTGCAGTTTCCCGTGAAATAGAACTCAGCTTCCATGGTAACATATCTACGTCTGGAGTTTGATGTATCTGCGAAAATGATCAATACTTTGCATAGTTTATCGAATAATACTTTTTAACATACATGTATCATATATGTCCGTTATATTCAGTTACAAGGTCATGTACAACTATGTAATTGTGAAAAATAAAGGTTGTAATGAAGCATTAAACAATTGTCAAACAAGTGGCTGTAAAACCTGGTTTAATTAACCATTTTCTTCGGAAAATCTCTATACGAAGTCAGGAATATGACAGTTATTTTCCTTTCGTTCCGTTTGATGATGAAGTCTGACGTTTGATTTTGTCAGGTTTTAAAGACTTCCTCTTTTTTTAATTAAAATTGAAGTTCGGTATTTTTGTAATACTTTTTTTCATCGTTTCCGATTGACAATTTACCTGTTCTTATATGATTTCAATCCGTTTGAAAATATTGAATTTTACCTTCTGGAAAGCCGTACTTACCAAAACAGTCCTTCAGTCTGTCGTGGTTTGTCCAAATTCCATTGTCTTGGCAAATCAAGAAATTTGGTAATGAAGTAAGTACAGAATATCCTTGAGAACACAAGGGGTGACAATAGCGTCCACCAACCCATACATCACATGCAATGGCTCCATTATCCGGTGGTGTAAGATCTGGACAACCATTAGATACTGAAATTTGAAATTCATTTCCGAACTTTTTTCAAGTTAATGTTATGTCGAAAACACATAAATAAGCAGACATAATTAACGCCTGTTTATCAATTTATACTTTTCATTAGGTTTGAATATGTTTAAATCAAATGAAAAAGATGCATTCCTGTCTTGTGTATAATTATTGAGGTTTATTCTTAGATAACCTGTAAAATCATGTTGTATTTTAGAAACCAACAAAATATTGGGCCTTTTATTAAAGGATAGAAACAAAAGATGAAACCTTACATTCACAGAAAGGCTGGAAATCTATAGCCCATTTTGCGTAGGGATCAATTCCATTTCTTTTGCAGTAGGTACTTCTTTTACCAACTAAAACTGAGTTATCTTGACATGAAAAAGTACATTCAGAACCACGCCTTGTTCCTGTGCAGTTTAGCTTCATATAAGGCAGTGGATATAACTTAGGACATCTCAGTTCTGTAAAGAAAAATATTAAATAAAAATATATCGTGTGAATATGCAGAACAAACATGCGTGAAAGTTAATGAACTAATGTTAAACTATGATTAGATGGAATATGAATTGTATAAGTGATTGAAACGTACCATACTACGGATCCTTGTTGGTATCGTACAGATAAAGGCTTTTGGTTTTTAAAGTAGTTTAGCGCTGGAGATGTAGACAGTATAACGCTGAAGACGTTAAGTCAAGCGCTAGAGATATAAATTCAAGCTCTGAATAATTAATCTCAAGCTCTGAAGATGTTAAGTCGAGCGCTGGGAATGTACAGTCTAGGCCTGAAATTGGACGTGCAATTTGTGGTTGTTTTGGGGTATAATGGGTCGTTTGTGTTGTTGGGGACTTAAAAGGGAAATTTCTTTTATTAAAAGTAATTTGGAAGTAACTCTTTGCAATCCCAACTCCTTCCCTCGAAACCACTCAATGATCTGAAACAAAACTTTTAAAATTTGATATTACTTTCATGTTTTCTTTATGCAACATGTATACATGTTTGGCATTGAGTTTCAATGGTGAGTCAGTGTTAGAGATAAAAAGGTTCTCACTAACAATGTATGATCACACCCAGCAGTCTGCAACTCCTTAAAAATCACAAAATTTTGTGGAATATTTGTTTTTGTATGAATTGGAAGGTTCGTATGGACTTTAAGTGACATAAATTGTTTTCTCATTACTATGTTCTAGTAGAGACAGTCCTTGCAAACCGCTTTACAAAGTAAGTGGAGGAGTTTTGCTTTTCGGAGTTTATATCTATTTCGCTGGATTAAACACCTAAAGGCTCTAATCAACATCTACAGCACTCTACTTGGCGTCGTTAGCGTCGGAGTTTAAATCTACAGTGATCGACTTTCATTTATATTTTAAATATAAATGTTTCTCAAGTGGTAAATCTTTAGCGCTATAGTTTACACATGAGACAAACAGGGTCCGCATCATCACTACAAAACAACTTTTCTTTGTTAACTCTAATTCAAATATACCAAATTTTCTGCGTTCGGGATTATGCTCAAATCCAAAGATACAAACACATAAAGATGAAAAATTCAAGGTGAGCCTTAATAAAAAAAATACTTGGGAGAGTAATCAGTAATCAAACTGACAAAATTGTATTCATTTCCTACAGTAAATGTAATATTATTACTAGATTGTTTCATTTATGCTTTGACAAAATGCTGATCGATAGACCATCTTTTTTCAACTTTGATATGGATAGCCTTGACAGAATCACGAATCAACTAGTCTAAAAAAAATTACCGAAACACACATGTTATATAGAAAAGGGATAGAAGTTATAGTAAAAATTTTTCTTACGTTTAATCACAATGTCAAATGAACACTCCGTTCCTTCATTGCCTGCTAAATCTGTTACTGCATACTTGACATTATACGTGTTAACTCCTTGTTCGGAGGCTGGCGGTGGACCTGTTACTTGTGTAGGTTCCAATCCCTTGTCTTTGTTGTCTATTACTACTGGTTTGTCCCAGGAGATAAAGGCAGTGTCTTTATTATCTCCAGGATAAAACATTAAGGTATTTGGACATTGTTCAAAGGAAGGTGGTTCAACGTCTACAAAATGAAAGAAAAAAATTGAATCTTAATAAAATTAATGAGGAAGCTTTCACGTTTATACTTAAACGCAAATTTTTGACGAGTGTATACTGAAACACCTTAGAAGTATATTTATTGCTTTTTTGTATTTTTTAATTGCTTTTTAATTCATAAACAATTAACACTTTATTCGGGAATATGAATTAATTTGTACGAGCTTTAGAAGCAGGAAGATAAGCGAAGATTCGCTAGGTGTTTATAATCTTTTTAATTTTCTTTTTCTTCAAATAAATCTGCATACCCGCTGTGTGAAATGTGGACCTAAGAGAGGACACCCTGCTGTATGTTTTATGAATATGGTATAACTCTAAACATATAAAATCTCAGCATGATACGTATGCATGGTCTGCATTAAGGAATAGCTTGTAAGTGATTTAGTTGTTATTAATGGGAATGTAATCTATGCTTCGTAAGGGCTTTTTTCTTTAATCAGTCAAATTAATGTTGTCATGTCCTTTTTTATAGAATAGTTAAAAATGAATGATCATTGACGTGCAACTGGTATACAATCGAATCATGTCACAAATCGTAGTAAAGTGTAATAAAAGTATTAATATTTACCAACACAATCTGGATCGTATCCGTTCCATGTCCCTGATGCCAGACAAACTTTAGTTCTCCTCTGATTTGTAGGAATATCGAATCCTGCATCACATCCAAATGTACATATAGATCTGAAGTAAAAATCTGCTGTGCACGAAAAACTTAGCTGGCCACGTTGTACAATTGTTGAACACTGTTTTTCTGTAAACATAGAATAACATTTATATATACTAATACATAAACATGTATTTACAGTAGGTGTTCAATCAAACAAATGCTGATCTTGTATTAGCTGATGTACTAATACTTTGATTTCATCATATGCTTTCATTTCGTACAAAAGCAACCCATGCCGTATAAAAGCAACCCAAGATTATAGAGTCATTGGCTCCGCCTATCTAATCAATAAAGAATATTTTAATTCTAAATCCTTTTCCTTACAACAATAATTGTTTCTGATGTATTTTACATCTGAAAATTTTGAAACTTCATAGATTTTTCTATTTTAAAATGGCTTTACTATTACATAATACAGAAATGTATATTTTGTCTGGAAACAGTATGTAAGATATATATTAAACCTATTTACGAAAAAATCCCGGAAGGAACCGGGAAGACCTACAAATAGTGTTTTCATGTATATGTCTTCCTGAATGACACTTACTTTCACAATATGGCTCGTTTTGACTTGACCATTCGCCTGTTTCTAAACATTCTATTCGTGATGGTGCTCCTTTCAGTGTATGTCCTTGGTAACAGCCATACCAACAGACTGCTCCTAAAACCATATCACTACTCGGATGACAGACTCTATATCCGTCTGGTATGCTGCTCGAACGCACTGGACATCGTATAACTGGAAAATTACAACACTTAACTCGTTAGAAAGATTGAAATATAAATTCAAAAATTCCGATTTTTTAATGTTATCTGAGTATGTAAATCTATGACAACTAACAATAGGTTAAAAATTAAATAGATTTAACTACATTGAGAAACATATGGATATATATGTTTAGTATTCTGAAATTTCAAATATTCATTGACTAGTAATGTGCAAAATCTTATTTGAGATAATCCAGTATGATATATTCTCCCTTTTAACATTAAAGAGAGAAATTGTTAAATAGACAATACAAATTTCCCATTATATCCACCCTTTCAACTCCGATAAAGTAGCACAGTGTGCTCCTATAGGAATGCCGATTTCTGTTGAAAAACAAAGCCACCAAACGATATGTTGACTTTGAATCAGAGTTTTTTTTACAAAGTATAACATATCCTTTCTCAAAACAAGATATAATACATTGGTATTTTTTATGTAATAAAGCTTGGCCAATTGTTTCACTTTTTTTTAAAATAAGTTTACGTAAAGTCAAGTATATATACACTCCATACTATGAAATACACGTGGTATATTCTATCTCTCTCTTGTTTTTTGGTCAAACATTTGGTGATACAGTTTACCATTTTCATTACAGAATGAGGTTTTGTGCTCTGCTGTTTTTCGCTATTTTAATCTATAACATATATTATCATACCTCAGTTATCATTTTCTATTTAAAATAAGTATACGATATTTTCACTATTTTTCAAATTGCAAGCGTTGAACTATTTGGCCGGTCAATAGTTTCAAACTATTTGCCCTCGATGGAACTATTTGACCGCAAGCGTCATTATATTTCGCGGAATTTTAACTGGAGCTACGGGATTAGAGAATGTTGAGTATACCGCGGGAGTTACGACTTCGCGTTTTACCTACTTTATCTAGTGTTGACGTCAGTGCGGGTAGCCTTAGCATTTAGAATATATATGAAGTATGGTTCTGTTTCTGCTTTTTATATAACGATAGTTGATTAAGCACCGACATTTATTGTCTGTTGTCTCTTTCGGTATAATAAAACACTTACTGACTGGATATTCGTGGAATAGGAAGTTTATTGTCCCCTCGGATACAACTATTGCCCTCGGCTACGCCTCAGGGCAATAGTTGAACATCGGGAGACAATAACCTTATTATTCCACTCATACCCAGTCAATAAGTATAAAATATTGTTTACCTTTTACATAAATGTTGAAGTTGCATGTTGCCATGTTTCCTGCTTGATCTCGGGCATAATAGCCAACTGTTGTGGGTCTACCATCTCGTTCAAAGAATGGACCACCAGGACTGTAGGGACCATTTATATGAACGCTGTGAAATACAGAAAATGTAATTTTGCTTTTTTCATTGTTTTATTAGTTAACTTATATGTGTGACGTCAGTGAGGATAAGCATGCAAAATTACAAAGAACACTTATGCATAAAATTGTCATTCTATGAAATCTGCATAGTTCGTATTTATAATAGAACTAACAAAACATGTGCAATTTTAATTTCTATCAACTAATAACTGAAAAAAGTTCGCTGAAGAAATTGGTTTAATATTAATCAATGTATCATAGAAACCAAATTTTCGTTCGACCGACAAAACCATGCATTTCGTTTACATTATATTAAATAAACAGATTTATGAGACGAAAGAACGTACTGGCCAGCCTCGAATTGATGTTTGCTGCATTTAAAATTCCCTTAGGGGTTTGAATATCTTCGTTGGGAACGTACTGGATATTTTTTTTAAAGGAACGTATATATAATAGATTTACCAAAACAAATAACCAGTGAAAGGTCAATTTACCCGAGGTTGTTGGACAATTACATCTTTAAAAATATAAAAATTTATTCAGTGAGAATTTATAAAATTAATGTAAGATAAAATGGCCAGTGCCGAAGTATAGATGATGAAGTGTTTATACAAGTAAGATTTTGACAGGTGATCATGATTGCAAAGAAAACACAAATGTTCATTTCATTTACTTTCCTAACGCGAATAATTCAGTCGTTACATACCGCTCTCTACGATCACTCCATTAACTCTGGAGGTACTGACCGTAAGAGGGCGCTGTATTATTCGATTTAACATTTGATTAAACAGTTGGTGAGTTATTCCAGTATGTGCTAGTACCTGATTTGTCCGTCTCTGTTGTCCCATGCTGTAGGAGGCGTCCAATCAACAAAGGTATGAAGCTGAAATGGAATAGCTGTTACTGTTCTGTCTGATGGACAACTACTAATCTGTGGTCTAGTTGTATCGCCTGAAAAATTAATAAAAAAAACTATTTTAAAAGGTCTTACCTAAATGTACCATTATTATCAACGTGAGTGAATTTTTCATTTTTTTTTTTATACAAAACCTAACTTAACATTATATGAAAACGAAAAAAGACATGCACAGACGTCTTTAACATTTTACTATATCAATGAAGTGTTCATATTGAGTGTTGAATGGATTGTTCATTTAAGGTATGGTCATCATTTTGCTGGGCGAGAAGGCTCACAACTTTTATATATTTTTTAATTTATATCTTACAGTTAACTTTCAATTCTACAAACGATATAAAAATATGATACTTAAATATTTATTATGTTAAATCAAGATCTACAACCATAGGCATCTTAAAATACTAGAAATGTTTTCATCGAATATGAATACAAACACACACCCACTCACATTTTAAATCTGATGCAGGACCTCTACTTTTTTTATTTAACTTTTCAAAACTTTTTTTAGAAGTTAAAAGAACTTAGTAATGAAAAATTAACTAACGTGGTCTTGGTCTAGGACAACTGAATATACTGCAAACAACTTTGCCAACAAATCTGACAATTCGCCGAAACCATCCGCGTTTTCTTCTTTTTAAAGGTTTCGCTAGTTCTTTGGTAACTGCTGAAGAACCTAATTATAAATAAGTTAATGGTTCATGGTTCATAAATTAATAAAAACTGAATAATATTGGCTATTCATAACTGTTCAATGTACTAGTTATATATTTAGCTTATCTTTAAGTGTTACCATTTCATGTATTAAAGGTACTTGAAATGTATATTGTTCAAAGGTATTCAAAGCTTTTACTTAAACAATTAAGTCTGAAATCTATAGCATTTAAAAAATTTGAACATATTTACCAAGCGCTGCAACAGCAGTCTAGTAGTAGTGATTATATTGCAAATAGAACATTTCGCGATGAAAGCGCAGGCGTTTTCTTTATTTTTATGTTTAACAGTATGCTTGCTTCATCGCCTAAAAATAAATTGACATCAGAGGAAATTAAAAAAATAATTTTCAACAGATCGCTTTATGTCTCGCTCGACTCGTTTTTGTAAATAAATATAAATAATTGTATGCTTACAGTCTTTATCTTTTACTGTCCATTGACCGCTCTGGCAAAAAGCCCAGGAAAATTCTCTCGTAGATTTGCATTTAACTGTCAATGTGGTTCCATGAGGAATAAAATCTTTTACATCAGGATAAGCTTGTCGAACATGAAAGTGTTCTATCAAGGCAGATACGGGACACTATAAACATACATATGATAATGTTCAGTCAAGGCAGATGCCGGACACTATAAACATACACATGATAATGTTCAGTCAAGACAGATACCGGACACTATAAACATACACATGAATATGACAATGTTCTGTATCTCGTCAGATACCGGTAACTATAAATATACACATAAATATGACAATGTTCTGTATCTAGTCAGATACCGGTGACTATAAACATACACATGAACATGACAATGTTCTGTATCTAGTCAGATACCGGACACTATCAACATACACATGAACATGACAATGTTCTGTATCTAGTCAGATACCGGTGACTATAAACATACACATGAATATGACAATGTTCTGTATCTAGTCAGATACCGGACACTATAAACATACACATGAATGAGACAATGTTCTGTATCTAGTCAGATACCGGACACTATAAACATACACATGAACATGACAATGTTTTGTATCTAGTCAGATATAGGACACTATAAACACTTTAAACATACACTTTGTTAGTTTTGAGTGTTTTTGTTAATTTTGTTTCATTTATATATTTCGGAGTTTAGTGTAGCGTCCATTTGCGCTGAACTAGTATATATTACTGTTTAGGGGCCAGCTGAAGCCCACCTACGGGTATGAGATTTCCTCACTGTGTTGAAGACCCATTGGTGGCCTTGTGCTGTTTTCTGCTTTTTGGTCGGGTTGTTGTCTCTTTGACACATTCCCCGTTTCAATTCTCAATTATTCTTGAAAATGTTCTATTAAGGCAGATACGAGAAAAAATAGACATAACTGTAGACATGACATAACATAATAGACATTCCATTATCAATTTTATAAACATGTAAATATTTTGTCAAGGCAGGTACAGGACACTATAAACATACACATCAAAAATGTTCTGTCAAGGCATATACGGGACATTTTCTGAATAAGGTAAAAACAAGTTATATATGTAGGTATGGGTATGTATCAAGGAGAATTTCTTCGATGTGTTTGTCCTTGAAACTCTTTGGTGCATTGCATTTGTCTGTATGTTTGTTCGGGATTAGACCTCGTGTTTGCTTTGTTTTTTATTTGGACATCATCGTAACTATGGTAAAGCGATGTTGTTGTTAGTGATGTTTTTTGTTATTATTTTTCATCACAATTATAGAAATGTTATAAATTGTTTGTCGGAATTGAAGCGCACGTTTAATACAATAGGAAACATCTCAATTCATTTCAACAATAATGTTTTGGAACGAGATGAAAATATTTTTTTTTTAATAAGGTTGCGTTTTTTATTCAATTAGATTGTATGTGCATCAAATAATAAAACATGCGTAAACTTTATAATGATACTATTTGAAGTACATTTAAAAGGTCACTGTATTCAGTATTTATGATATTTCAATATAGAAATAAAAATGCCGTATTCAAATTTTATGTCGACTTAAACTGTTTTGTTATCCAAGTGACCTTTTATCAGATTGTATAGAATTTAAAAATTCGTTGAGTTATTAAATCAATTTTCTTAAATTACTTACATGTTTCTCGTTTTCTCCAAACACTTTTACGATAAAAAGGGAAATTACAGCAACTACAATCTTTAACGTCATCATACTGTTACTGTGTATCTTATAATTATTGTTAATTGTCCTAAAATTAAAACAAAATAGTAGATTTTTTTCAGATCCAGAGGAGGGTTCCGGAGGTTTAATCCCCTTCCTTCAGATATATGCTTTGAAAATTACCTAAAAATTCATAAAATTTGTAACTAACCCCCATTTTTATAGAATTTTTGGATCTGCGCCTTAGGATTGGTGCTTCGGCTAAACTCTAGAGATCTAACTAAAATTTGTTGAAGCATTAAAGTAACCATTTGTCAATGATATCATACAGAGAATAAAATTTTGAATTTGTATTGAACAATTTCAAAATCAAGCAATATTATTCTTGAGAAGGTTGTATTTACACTTTTTTTTTTGGCTATCTACATTTCACAGAACAATAAACTGCGTGAATACCAACAAAAAGAAATTATACTACTTTATACATTTTATTTTAAAGTATTGTATTATTTTCAAATTAACGATACTATAATAATTTAGTTCTAAACAGATAGAAGTGACAAATAAATTTACCTTACCATTAAACACCACAAGAATGGTCGAACATATTGATAGATTTCCAAAATGAGGAAGTAATGTTACGCATGAGTATCGAAGTTATTTAATATAGCATATACGCAAGTTAGTAAGAATAAGATATTTAAAATTTCCTAATACACCATTAGTTTGTTAAACGTGTATTCGGGAAAGGATAATGGTAAGTACTTATTTTACTTATTAATATTTTAAGACAATGATATTTTGTAAGAATTACAAAGAAATGCAGATAAATTATATGAAAATCAAGATTTGCTATATACCAGATTTAGAAAATATTTATGAATGTTTAGTCTGTATTGTATGTTTTCAAACCGAAAATAAAATGATTATGGTGTTTTCCTTTTGTCTTATGTTTAACCTTTTGGCTTCCAGAAATTAAAAAAAAATATCGATTACGATCTTTCGGAATTGCATTTATGCATTTAGGGGTTAATAGAACATTAAACTAAAAGAGTATTTGTACTGAAATTTTTCCTATATATATATGTCTATTTTTTCTTTCAGAGGTCCAGTCCATGGCTGTTGCTATTCCTTCTTTCGTTATTTGGTTCTTCAGAATGTGGAATATCCTCACAGTGGGATCAATGCGGCTGTAGATGGGAGGAGTGGGAAGCATGGGGGACTTGTGATAGCGAATGCAATGGTGAACGCAGACGATCACGAAAAGTGTGGATGTATACCAACATGCCCGGGTGTGTCTTCGATTTCAACACATGCGCTACCAACGACATGGGATGGGACTACTCGAGATGTAACGCGTTTTGTCACAATGGAGGAACATCAAATAGCTACTCATGTAGCTGTGTAACAGGATTTTATGGAGATTGCTGTGGCTTTCGTAAGATTTTTTCAAATATTCTATATAAAACTCCATTTGTCCTGTTGAATAAATTCTATTCAAGTTGAATATATGCTTTCATCTTCCACATGTTATAAATAAATCAAAGTGTTTGGTTGCATGTGCTGATATACTAGCATCAAACTGTGCATAGTGTGATCCTATAGAAGAGCTATACCAAAACGCCTTCTTTTAGGAGTCTTTGTTAAACCTTAACTTATGAATGGTCTTACTCGCATTTCAAACCAACATAATGAAAATCGACATGTTACCTATAAACAGCTGTCAATGTCAGTCATATGTATTAAGGGGAAAGAATAAATCTGTACAAAGCAAACTTAAACAAAAGAATTAAACTACAGTCAATCAATATTTTGTTAAGGTAAATTGCAACAAGAATTAAATCAATCAATCAATCAATTAATTCAACAGTCGTCGGTCTCCTACTTGATCAATCGATCAACAATACGCTCAATCGATCGACACACCAATTAAGCAGTCGATGCATCATTTTAACGCATAAGTAGTCATACGTAAAAGTAAGATAACAAAAGAAGATAAATAAAAATAAAAATAAAATAAAACTTCGTTCTTATTGTAGAGGTAAACTGCGGTAATCCTGGATCTATAACAAATGGCAACTTAAATGGAGGTACCTATACATATGGTAGTACTGTAACATACACCTGTAAGACTGGATACCTGTTGGTAGACGGATCATCTAGTAGAAAATGTGAACTGAACGCAATATGGAGTGGTACAAAACCAAGATGTGCATGTAAGTAAACTTAATTTTAACAACTAGAACAACAAGTCATAGTACACGTATTTTGTCTTCCATTTTGAATTTCAGTAAAACAGAGTAATTTAACCTGAAGAAAATGTGAAAAATTGACATTCACCGCACAAAACGTGACGTGCAGTCTAAAGAAAAGGCAAACTTGTTATTCACTGCGGCGCTAAACGTCATGTGCAATTCATAAGAAAGGTTAGCAGTGGATATTCAAGGCCCTTAAGGTCAAGTGTTTTACATGTATAATTACACGTTTGTCTCAGTATATATCAATTTCCAAAAGTTGATGAAACCATGTATTTACCTCATCAAAAAACAGTAATTGTATAATATGATATTTAATTTTAAAAGATACAGTAACCCAACGACGCAAAAAGGTCAACTTGGGTTTTTCAACAATAACTGGTTGTCTTTAATACTACACTGTAAAAATGGTGTTTAGATCCTAAACACATTTCTAAGCACATCTTTTTTGCACTTTTTTTTTACATGTTTAGATCTAAATGTGTCTCAGTACAATGTGTTTAGGATTGTGTTAAGAATCGTGTTTAGCTTAGAAAAAAGTGTTTAATTTCTAAACACTTTCATTTTTAAACACATTAAAAGTGTTTAAATTCAAGACATGTTTAGATATTATGTGCTTACTGAGAAATGTGTTTAGAAATTAAACACAATCCTAAACACGTTTAGATCTAAACATGTAATACAAGTGTTTAATTTCTAAGCACGACTTTTACAGTGTATATTTCGATCTCTAAATCACTTCGAGTCGTAACAAAGTAAGAGAAGATACATATACCTAGAGAGGACTACTAAAAACCCCTTACATAAAAAGCACTTTACAGCACGATGTAACTAAAAGAAGAAAGACGAAAAGACACAAGTCAACAAAGAAAACTGTAGATCAGGCAACACTAAACACACAAAAAGCAGGGGTGACCCAAGATTCGAATGAAGGGTACGCAGTTCCTGTGACTCCCGTTATGTTGATCATGACGCGTTTTGATTGAATTTTACAGAATATCAAGCATCTGTCGTCAATACCTAACTTAGAAATAAACGAAATGCCAACTTACTGAAATACAATTAAAAAAAAATAGATAACAATAAGGTACAACATTAGAAAACACAAAGCCGAAAGTCACAGATATCAGTAACTGAACCGAAAATTCAAAACAGTAAAAACACTGAACGATGTCTGCTTACATTTTTATAACTGTTGTTTCGTAATACTAGACATATGACATTAAATTGAAAAATGTTTTTTTGTAAAAAGTAAAATAACAAAAATATCGAACTCCAAGGGAAATTCAAAACGGAAAGTCCTTTATAAAATGGCAAAATCAAAAGCTCAAACACATCTAACGAATGGAAAACAACTGTCATATTCCTGACTTGGTACAGGCATTTCCTTATGTAGAAAATGGTGGATTAAACCTGGTTTTTATTGCTAGCTAAACCTCTCACTTGTATGACAGTCGCATTAATTTTGTCCTCATTTCAGATTATAACTCCTGTTCAAGTGGTCCATGTAAGAATGGAGCAATTTGTACAAACATACCGGACGATTATCAATGTGCATGTACTAATGGTTGGTCTGGTAAAAACTGTGATGTTGGTAAGAATTTAAACTGGTTATAATTTGATTTCTCTGGTTAAAACTAATACATACATAATGAAATGCATAAATTGGATCAAGTTATTTCCAAAGTACAACATTGTACACATTGGATCAAGTTATTTCCAAAGTACAACATTGTACACATTGGATCAAGTTATTTCCAAAGTACAACATTGTACACCAACCACCAACATTCAACTCATCCGGGGAATAGCATACAAACAAAGACAAACAACAATCACAAACAACACATGATCTAGATAGCTTAACTTGGTACAGACATAAATGTGGTAGAATTAAACCAGTTTTACATACACACAAACATTGTAAATTTATAATTTGTTTGAGTGTACTCTACATTTGCATACTTCAACACATATTTTTCCAGATATACAGCCACCAGTTATGACCAATTGTTCAAGCGACAAATACATTACAACATCAAAACTCACAGATCTAGTAGAATGGCAGATACCTTCATTCACTGATCCACATAATTTCCCGATCGATGTTACAGCCAACTACCTTTCCAATGAATTTACATTTCCATGGGGAGATTTTAATGTCAGTTACTCAGCAGTAAAGCCATCAAACGGTTTAAGAACAAACTGCCTGTTTGGTATCAGTTTAAGGCGTAAGTTTTTTTCTGTAGAAATCTTCGCTCAATTTGTTAAATAGTTTTACAGCTTAGCATTCAGATGTTAAATTATAAACTGATTTATTTCAGGAACTGGTGAGTCAAGAACAAAAAAGTAACTCTTCAAGTGATTTAGGTGACAAACCAAATAGTTATTTCACGTCGGTTCCCCCATCTATTTCGTAATCATTATATTTTTGAATAGTTTCTGTGGAATTATGTTTTACTTTATTTTAAATATACATGCAAATGCATATTTACCATATTTTCTTAATTGAATGAAGGAATGAATCTTTATTTCCTCAATGTATATGAATTTCCGTTTTACCATTAAAGATTATTCTATTCATTTATTTATTTCAGCAAACCCTTGTCCTCCAATTAATGTTCCGGCGAACGGAGCTTTAATATGCAACAACTGGAGAACTGATTATGGCCAGTTTTGTACATTTTTCTGTAAAGATTCTTACACAGTTCCACGTGGTGTTATACTGGATGACTTTTACGTTTGTGGAGCTTCTGGATCGTGGACACCTACAAATACAATTCCCGATTGTTCAGGTAAAAATGATGGAATGAGAAGATTTAAAAACTATCATATAGTTAATTTACAAATTTGATATAAAAAGATATTTACCTCATATTTGTCAAACATTTGTTTCATTGATCGTGTTCAGTGGCAAATATTTCATGTAAATTCTAGTTTATTTCAGTTGGGTTTTATAAAAACTTTTTGACTAAGAGAACTAAAGATAAATACGTGTGAATGGATTAAATAATTCATAATTTAATCGAAAATCAACTTACACTCTAGAAGATAGAATAGAAAATGGCAACAGAGAATGTGTCAAAGAGACATCAACACGACCAAGGAGCAGAAAACAGTCCAAGGCTACCAATGGGTCTTCAACACAGCGAGAAAATCCCGAACCCGGAAACGGGCTTCAGATGGCCCCTAAACAATTATGTATACTAGTTCAGCGAAATGGACGCCACACTAAACTCCGAAATATATACAAATGAACAAAAATTTTAAAAAAAAACAAATAAGACTTACAAAGGCTAGTGGTTCCTGATTTTGGACAGGCGCAAAAAATGCGGCGGGGTTTTATGAGATCTCAATTCTCCCCTATACCTCTAGT